GACTTCATAACCATCGAGGAGGAAACTAAAGTCCTGTCCGAGAAGCATAAGCCGACGAAAACATCCGCAAGGGATAACGCGTCCGAGCAGAAGCAGAAAAAGAAAAGTTCTCGTAGCGACAAATTCGTCCATCACGAGGGACAGGATCTCCGAGGGGCGCATAACTACGCTATCAACTCCGGTTCAGAGCAAGGGCGAATTACGGGAAACACGTGGACGAGAAATTCGAATTACGACGAGAATTCTTTCTGCGACCTCCACCAAACCCATGGTCATTCCACCGTGAACTGCAAAGTTCTCGGCGCCAGACTGGCCGCGAAGCTAGTCGCGGGAGAACTTTCCGAGATATAAAGTGTCAAGGATCTCATCCGCGATTCGGACCGCGTCCCGAAGAATGACAAAAACGCACAAACCCCGCCTTAGGGAAATCAGTCGGGCGAAAAACGCGGAAGAAAAACAGACGAGAAGGGTAACGACGCTAACCGCCGTAAAATCAACATGATCATCGGCGAATCGCCATACTTTAACGATACCGTCTCGTCGATAAAATCCTACCAACGTAAAGCCGAAACCGGCTCGAGTTGCAAAGTGCCGATGGACGATTCTCCGACAGGAGTAATCTCCTTCAACGATGCTGAAACCGGCGGAATCGACCAACCGCATGCCGATCCCCTTGTCATCGATTTGGTGATAAGCGATCTAGAGGTTGCGCCAATCCTGGTTGATACCGGAAGCACGGTCAACGTCATCTTCCGCAACACGCTAGCACGAATGGGAATCGACCTCTCGGAAGTCGAGCCGATTCCAAAACCGCTGACTAGTTTCTCCGGCGAAACGTCAATGACCTTGGGATCAATCCGACTACCGGTCGTCGCAAAAGAAGTGACGAGAATCGTTAACTTTGCGGTAGTCGATGTCCCGGCTATCTACAACGTGATTATGGGCACGCCTTGGATAAATTCCATGAAGGCGGTTCTGTCCACGTATCACTTAGGCATCAAATTCCCGACGCCTACGGGAGTCGCGGTAATTTGGGGATGCCAAAGACAGTCGTGAAACCAAAACGGGCAAAGGTCACGCCACCGCCCGCAGACAACGACCCGAAGCAAGCAACGGCCGAGAAACCAGAAGTTTCCGCACCTATCGCTTCCGCCCAACCGGAGGAGACAATCCCAGACAAAGACACCGATCCCGCGACTGAAGCGATCGAGAAGTCTACGACAGCCGAGTAAACACACTCGCGCAAACTATCAGAACTACGAGATGGCTTGATTTCCGAAAGGAATACGTAGGCAGCTCGCCTAAAGACGAGTTCAGCTATCCCCCTTTCCAAAGCGGGGGGGGG